GGCTGCCGGCATAAATTAAATTGCATGCTTTCTGTTAATTGGACGAGTCTCTGTTCTCAGTGCCGTTTGGTTCTTAGTTTCGATTGATGTCCACCCATCTCTTCTTGTCCTTTATCGAAAACCTACTCAATGTACGAATGTAAATTTTCAATTCTAGAATATAGTAAGGATGTGCAAGGCTGTTATTTAGTACGGTACATTTTGTGCTACGGGAGATATTGTGTGCAATTTATTAAAATTTAAACTTAGTATTGGCACCAAAAATCTCATCGAACTAAAATACAAAAGAGCAAGTAACTAAATGCAGAGCATTGACTGATAAACAAGTACATTGTGATTTCATTCCAACTAAGATCTCTGACGTCAGGAAAATTACTTCCCATTCCCACAAAAAAAACTGTGAAGTAATTCTATCACTTAAATTGGAGGTTCAAACGTGTTTGGTGAATATATTGAATGAAGAAATCGAAATTCAATGATTGTACGATCGACGGCTTAGGTTTCCTGTATATTGGCAAGAAAAATCTAGGGATAAATAATTATTGCCTCTTCATTTCAGGTCATCTAATAGCGCCACTGATATATAATTGAATTGAAGGATAATTTCTTGAAATTTAAGACAGTCAGCAAAGTCTCCAGAAATCGAAATCAAGTAATTCACTGATGAGTAAGTGAGACCTGCATGTAGGTCTCCGCCATGAGGAGCCACACTCGACACTCGCATCCATCCTCTTTAAGAGCAACAGGTTATAGCGCTGCACCGCGCAGGTAGCAGCAACGCTTCTCGACGCTTCACGAGCAACAGGTTATAGCACTGCACCGCGCAGGTAGCAGCAACGCTTCTCAACGCTTCAAGAGCAACAGGTTATAGCACTGCACCGCGCAGGTAGCAGTAACGCGACAAATGTTACGCGACGCTTCATGAGCAACATACTCGTATTAATTAACACCGCAATAAGCTATATAGCAGCATGGAACGTAGCGAACATTTCTCGGCGTTTGCTCAAAACATTAATGCCGTGTCGATCAAGTAAAATTTCTGCACAACACATTTTTTATGTGCATTTGTCGGCTACATAGCAGCTTCATTAATATATATGTGAACACATAAGCGCCCCCAAATGTACGTATCTTGCCGTCTGTTGTCCATTTGGACTCCCGTACACTTCTGGATGTTATTGAATCAATCTTGCACATTGGAAAGTGAACTGATAAATGTTTATGTTGAAATGCAAGTTTGTCAATAATTCATGATCATCATCTCATTGGAAAAAATATTTAAAACAATAAATTACTTTCATATGTCATTCGCTGTGCAATTTCTGCTCATAGTGCGCTGAGAAATTTTCCCAAATTTATAAATATATTCACCTACTCTTCACGAAATTTAATATATAATATTGATGATTTATTGATTTCTGTAATTAATTTTTAATATTTAAATTTTATTCAATTTACGTCAAAAAAATGAGACTTACAAAAATTAACCAGGAATTTAAAAGCAAAGAAAATACCACAAAAATTCACCATATCTTTATAAGAGAAAACGTTTCGGAGTCCAGCTCCATCGTCAGTTAAATTGATTTATTTGTGTTTCTAGGACTGAACTTTTTCTGAACAGAATTTTGTGGTTTGAACTGACGATGGAGCTGGACTCCGAAACGTTTTCTCTTATAAAGATATGGTGAATTTTTGTGGTATTTTCTTTGCTTTTAAATTCCTGGTTAACTTGCGATTCAAGCAAACAAGTGATTTTAATACTTACAAAAATTAATTATGAATTCAAATAATAGTGCATTATTATAATGATAGTGCATTATTATCAAGTATGGAATTAATGAGGGAATTTCAGCGGAATGAATGGAAAGTAAATAATAAAGTTGGAATTAATGGACCTGTGCTTCTGAAGTCCATGACCTGAACCTTTGGGTTTAAACTGGTATATATTTTATTAAGGTCTTCATATTCATATTATGGCAATTGTTTAAGAAAAATAATTTCGAAACTAAACCAGAAACGAACATTACGAAAATCCTGACTCTCAAATACTGCTGCAGTTAGCCATCGAATGAAGTTATTTGAATTTTCTGATACACTCATGCAGAAAACGTTTAATGGTAATCGGAAGTAAAATGAAGGTGAGTCTATTTGTGCTCAATAATTGTTCAAGAGAATAATTTATGATTTGCAGAAGATCAGAAGATATTATGCATGCACCAACAAATACCATGTCATTCAAGAATTGCTAACAAGCATTGTATTCAACTGAGTCATCGCGAACGATACAATGAGTAAGAACAACGGCCGTAAATCATTGAAGGTTATTCGATTGACAAATATTTTGTCTCGATTAAATAAAACGAAAAACTGCAACTTATACGCGAGTGAGGAGTTCATTAATCAATCAATACTATCAATGGATCTCCATAAAATTCATAACATGACTAGTTGATAGCAAGACAATCGGCACAAGTTTTCACGTTGCTGCTTTTTTCAATAAAACAAAACTTTAAAAAATACGTTATGTTATGTAATCAGAGGTTACGCTAGGATAGGTTAAGCTAGGATAGATCAGCATAAGATGCAATATAAAAAATTGCCACTTAACCAATCCTAACCTATCTTAACCTAACCTATTTTAACCTAACCTATATTAACTAAACCTATATTAACCCAACCTATCTTAACCCAACCTATCTTAACAAAACCTATCTTAACCTAACATATCTTAGCCTAACCAATCTTAACCTTTCTTAACCTAACCTATCTTAAACTAACCTATCTAAACCTAACCTATCTTAACCTAACCTATCTTAACCTAACCTATCTTAATAAACATGACGTAACCTAACACATATTTTTTTTCGTTTTAATCGGAACCCACGCAACGTAAAAATCTGTACAAATTCCTACAGCGGGATCTCGCCATTAGATATTTATATTTTAAATTTATGCAGAAGTATTCGAATTGAGGAGCTTATAAGATGTCCTGTTGCGCAAAAGTTGTTTATTTTTATTTTAATCGAGAACAAAATGACGTAAAAATCTAATTATTCTCCCGCGGCGCATTGCTAATAATTAGTTAGGTTCTGATCTATTCGGAATTGAGAGACTTACCATGAGCTATTTAGTTGCACAAAAGTTGCGTTTTTCGTTTGCGTTCGCTGACGAGTTCGCGGGGGATAATTCGGAGAAGTGCCGATTCTTTGAATGCCGAGAAATGTCAGAGCCTCCCGAGGCCAAAGAAAGAAAAAACAAATGAAAAAAATTTTGGTCCAATAGAAATTTCAGGTCAAATTGCATAATTGATTCGATATCAAAATAAAATATAGCTCTCCATGAGGGTTATACCATTAAACACAAATTAAGTTCGAGGCAAAGGATCTCAAATGAAAAAGGGCTTATTATGTTTTATTCAGTGCTGACTTCCATTCACATACTTCGCCATTACTTCTTTTAAAAGTCCTAAATATATTGTTAACTTTCCAATCTCGCAACAACCAATTTCTCCAACTACTTTCACCTTGATTACATCAAAAATTCTTTAAACTTCGCCCGTGATTACCATTATGTTATTATATTTACGCTCATTAAACAATTTCTCTATAATGAATTCTCAAGTAATAATAATTCTCTTGCAACTGTTACATATTAAAGAAATAAATAAACTTTAAAAAACATGGTGTGCTATCTAAACGAAACGTGCTATCTAAAATTACAAGTTTGCACTTTGAAAACGAGCGAAAACCGTACTTATAATTTTACCACCACCACAGATGATGGTTGGTCCCATCGAACTTCGTCACACAATAAACCTTGAATTCGTTATCTTCTCTTAAACTCCGACCTTAATTTGACATTATTTATTCTCGTTAATTGAAAGAGGGGCGAGTATCTGTACCTTCTTCAATGCCTACTATATAATCTTTAGCTCTCCATATACATAATAGATTGATGTAAATAACCATCATTCGATCGGCTCAATACCGCTTGAATGCGTAGCATTAACTATGATTATTATTATTCTACGATGCATTTATCGAGTGGACTGGTTCAAACAAACTTTGAGGGCACGTCCCACAGAAGATTAATAGCAAGCGAAAAATAAATAGACACAGGAAAGGATGGGAACGGATAAATGACTAAGCACTAGATTCATAAGCTCTACGAAATAGTTCCGTCTTAAGGCGTCGACAAAACATCTGCAACGAAGCCTCTGAAGTTACGGAAGCCGAAGTTGATGATAGTTTCAGAACAGCGGTTCGTTGCGAATGACTGCCGTTCAACCAGAGTTCTCTTTGCCCTATTACTGAAACAAAAATTAACAGGAGCAAGAAATAACAACCGTCAATGTCACACGAGTCACCAGCAGCAGATATACTGCACCCAACTTGCCTCTCATCAAGAGAAATCTAATAATTACTCAGAATTGCGATTTGTAGGTTTTGTTTACCACATAATAACTACAAATTATTCCTTCCTAGAAATTATTAAAGCAGTTTTGTTCATTCAATGGATCGTTTGTATTGAAGGCCGGTAGCATATTTGCTGTGTCGACATAAGTGGCATACATCATACATGGTTGAACTAGTAGAGGTAGTTTCAACCATGAGTGGCATCGACGTTAGTTAAATTCTAGTCAGAAAGTTACTGCTACCTCCAACAGTTTCATGACAGATGTAAAAATACGTACGAATAACATGGATGTTCTTTAAGCTTATGAAATCCCAGTAGATCTCGGCAAGCACAGTTGTTTGCATAACCGCTAATCTTCAAGAGTTCTTCAATCTCCGCTAATCTTCAAGAGTTTTCGAAGCTGAAATAATTCATCGACACGAAAGGTAATGACCTGCCGAATTCTGCACCTGCTATCTAAGACTAGTTTTTTTTATCTGTCCGATCCGCAAGACAAGAAATTCATAGGATCAGTTATATTCAATCACTGCTTCGTAGTCATGAAGTTTCAGGAACACACATCAGGGACAAATAATAAATCACATTTTCCGAGTTCCGTATTTATTGCACATACTTTACAAAGATGCTCTTGGTTTCCCCTGCAAATGTGAGCTTCTGATCACTCTTCTGATATAACTAACAAGGAAATTACACAATTTACTTTTGTACAGACAGTAATTAAAATTTTCTATACTTGCGCATTATTATATATTTAATTTATACTTCATTTACAACGAATGGCTTCAAAAGTATATAGAAATGTCCGCGTTTCTATGAATTAAATAAGAGGGGCAAGTGAAGTGATGGAGTTGATTATTTGGAAATTATTTTCTATTTATCGAACAGTTCTAAAATTTTAGGTATGAAAGGAATGAAGACGCAGATAAAATAGATCATAAAAAGATTGGTCACTTCAGTAAATTGAGTTTCGGAAAACGATTTTTAGTCTTAACCTGAATAGCGGTCACCATTTATTTATTTTTATTAAACTGACTTGTCACGAGCATTTTATGATAGTCGATCACTGTCAATAATAAAGTTCTGAAATTCATGAATAGATATTATCGATAAATTTGATGATGATAGTAACTTATAGATCCTTGAATGCAGAGAGAAAAGATGTGTTACTACCGATGCTATGCTGAATAATGTCCGATTCATGAATTTATCCGTCAAGGATTCCATCACAGGAATCTTACAGTAGTCAATCCTACAGTAAACACGTAATTATCTCTAGGAGCGTATGTACACTTGTAGGATTCAAGTCATACTCTTATAAAGGGCCTTAAGATTACCAGTAGAAGGACTAGAATATCCAAATATGAGGCATTCAGAATAAAACTCATAGTATAGGAAATTATACAGCCTAGACAACATTTCTTCATCGGTTGATTAAAGTTAAGAAACAAGAATACGAAAGTTTGTGTTGATATTTACACATGATGATTCGTAACTCTTATAAAGAGCGACGAGAAGAGATACTGAAGAGATGCCACCTCAATATTGCGTGCTGTTTAAAGGATGAAAAATATTCAATATAGACTAAACATAGCGTCCATTCACGATCTCCATGATTATCACGAGACTGAAATTTAATTGAGGAGATTCACATCGTCTGCTCTCTCTTGTTACTCTTTCTCAAGCCTAACATATAATTTACAGGAAACAATGTATTTCCTTACAGCAGAAATATTCCAATTGTGGACTTCTCACGCACTGCGGGAGGCATAAAAACTGTATATTGAAAACCATTCACTATGTTAGACTGATAAAATAATTGTATTGTTTGTATTCATTTTCATGACAGGTTTTGCTACTCGCATCATCGCTCCTGTCACGATTTCAAATTGCCGGAATTTTTTTAGATTAATTTTTGGCTCATTAATCTTTGGCTCAGTGCGCTATTTTTCAATGTATTTTCTCCGCGTTTGAGAAATTTACTATTGCCCGCGATTAATTTTGAGATACCATTCTTCATGGTGTAGATATCGGTGACAAGACTCGGTACATCATAGCTAGAGCTGAAGACAAACCCCGACCCGATCTCTGCCACTACTCGCCGATCAAGTTGTTGCCGGAACCGCCACCGTTCACAGCATCTGAGGCCACAACGGCCGTGGCCGACGACGCATTGTTGTTCTCAGATAAAACGTTGGGCGATGACAGGCTTCCTGGCGAGCCGTTATGGATGCCAGCGTCCTGAGCCTGACGAAGACCAGCAACAGCAGCAGTGTAGTCAGGCAGAGGCGTCATGCCGTACGACGAAGAGCCTGGCAACAAGGACGGCAGGACAGACGAGTAGCTGAGCTCAGAGTCTTGTTGGTGCGAGCTGCTTGTTAGCAGGGACTGTTGTTGAGAGTGTTGCTGGTGAGCATCTGTAATTTGATGTTGATTCAAGTCCCTTAATGAAGATGATACGGTAACACCACTTCCAATACTGCTGCTGCTGTTGCTGCCGCCAGTTCCATTGCCTCCTACTGTCACGGTGGACAAGTCGTAATCAAGGTTTAAGTTGGATGGAAGGTTGTAGGCTTGAGTTGGATGAAACGGTGACCCTGCAACCGACGAGTGGTCCAACGAACTCATATTCTGCTCAGCGGGAGGCGTCGCCTCTTGCTGATGTTGAAGCATGTCTGTTGTTGGATATCCATAGTAATAATGATAATAACTAGAATAATAAGCAGGGTAGTGCGAAGTGGAATGTTGTAATGACCGAAGATGATGATGATGGGACGAGGCAGCAGCTGCAGCAGCAGCATCTAAGTCTGATACTGCAGCATGGGTGCTGCTAAGTTTGGATGGTGCTGCACCGAGGAATGATTCATCGAGAGAGCAGTCAGCGACTTCCTGTACCAGTCGTCGTCTCCGGGACTGGTCGGCAGCGCCGAGAAGCAGGGCGAGGCTAGCCCCTTCCTGTACCAGTCCTCCTCCCCCGCACCCCCAGCTGCGGTCAGAGGGTGGAAGGTTATGTGATAACAGGAGTGTGATAACAGGAGTGTGATAACAGGATTGTGATAACAGGAGTGTGCTAACAGGAGTGTGATAACAGGAGTGTAATAACAGGAATGTAATAACAGGAGTGTGATAACAGGAGTGCGATAACAGGAGTGTGATAACAGGAGTGTGATAACAGAAGTGTGATAACAGGAGTATGATAACAGGAGTGTGATAACAGGAGCGTGATAATAGGAGTGTGATAGCATGTGTGTGATGTGATAAAATGTGATAGCAGGAGTGTGATAACAGGAGCGTGATAACAGGAGTGTGATAACAGGAGTGTGATAACAGGAGTGTGATAACAGGAGTGGGATAACAGGAGTGTGATAACAGGAGTGTAATAAATGGAGTGTGATAACAGGAGTGTGATAACATGAGTGTGATAACAGGAGTGTGATAACAGGAGTGTGATAACAGGAGTGTGTGATAGCAGGAGTGTGATAGCAGGAGTGTCATAACAGGATTGTGATAACAGGAGCGTGATAACAGGAGTGTGATGACAGGAGTGTGATAACATGAGTGTGATAACAGGAGTGTGATAACAGGAGTGTGATAACAGGAGTGTGATAACAGGTGTGTGTGATAGCTGGAGTGTGATAGCAGGAGTGTCATAACAGGATTGTGCTAACAGGAGTGTGCTAACAGGAGTGTGATAGCAGGAGTGTGATAACAGGAGTGTGATAACAGGAGTGTGATAGCCGGAGTGTGTGATAACAGGTGCTTGTGATAACAGGAGTGTGTGATATCAGGAGTGTGTGATAACAGAAGGGTGTGATAACAGGAGTGTGTGATAACAGGAATGTGATAGGAGTGTGAAAGCAGGAGTGTGAAAACAAGAGTGTGATAACAGGAGTATGTGATAACAGGAGTGTGGTAACAGGAGTGTGATAGTAGGAGTGTGATATCAGGAGTGTGATAACAGGAGTGAGATAACAGGAGTGAGATAACAGGAGTGTGTGATAACAGGAGTGTGTGATAACAGGAGTGTGTGATAACAGGAGTGTGTGATAACATGAGTGTGTGATAACAGGAGTGTGATAACAGGAGTGTGTGATAACAGGAGTGTGGTAACAGTAGTGTGCAGCAACAACAGCGTCGACAGCACATTACTGGAGTGTTCAGTAGATAAAGCCTTAAATTGTACTGATAACATCGTCACATTGCACAGGGATGGACATCGTGACTGGGATGATTGTGAATCAGTAATGTATTTAATCGATGAAACTTGCATCAATGCATGAGACAGCCAATCCTGTGATACGAATTGCTCGTTTATTGTCATCTTTACTGAATGAATGATCGAATGGTCTCCGATAATTGCTACATTATTCGATATGCCCATGAGCATTAATCTGAATCAATTGAAGCATTAGAAATTTTACCTAGGATTCATACTGCAATGACATAATTTGACGAGCGTAAAAGTTTAAATACTTACTCATTGTATCTTGCCTCATAGCTGCCATATTGGTCGTAGGATGTGTCATAGAAAACGGCTGAGCCATCCCAGGGTAACCGCCGGTAGACATCTGTAACAAATGTGGCAGTTTGAAAAAGTATTCCATGAAAAATATTAAATGATTTAAACAATTTCTAATCAAGAAAAGTTCAATTGGGTTTACACTCATAATATACTGCATCTTTGAATTTTATTGTACTGTCATCTGAGTTCGATGACAGTAAAAAGCTCTTCAGCCTGATGAGATGCAGCGACTCTTGGTCCTGAGTAGGCGAACAGATTACTTCTCCTTCACCTAATCTGTCTTGCCGCACGGCTGAGCCTCTAATAAAGCCACCTAAGGCCCAAAACTAAGACTGACATCCGTGAAACGTTTCAGTTAACGTAAATTTAAAGGAAACTCTAAATAAAATTCCTACAATAAGTCTGGATGAGACAATTTACAGGCACTAGCCACAGTCCCCTTCAACGCCGGTGATTTTGGTGTGTTCCATGAATTCAATCGTCCATTCAGATGAGTCCTACCTAATTTCTACAGATTCATTCCGTAATCGTTTAGAAACTGACAACGCGACTATTGTCGAACGTCTTTCGAACCTAGCAATTTTGTGTACATTAATCTCGAGCATTGATTAATCAGATAGAAACTAAAAAAATCTCACCAAAATTATTGATGCCTAGTATTTAAATCTCCGATGCAATTAAAGCTTTTACTAGTTGTTTAGCTATTGTTGATTCCAGCACTTTTGTGTGAATTTATGGTTTAGTACGCAAATGTATTATTAAGTGGAAAATATAACCTTGTCTTCTTGACACCCAAAATCTTATCATCAAATCCTAAATCTGAGTTATCGAGCCTGGCATACCATTAGCTAAAAGTTTTCAATTACAGTATTTTTTTTGCGAAAAGAAGGGTGAATATTTAATATTTTACTGTATGTTAATTAATAGTGCAAGAAACGGACGGCACGCTGTGACCTAATAGTGGGTATCGGTTCATGTTAAGTCATGGGTTAAGATAAAAACTACTGCTGCATAGATCCACTAATGGTTATCGATTCATACTATGTCATGGAATGCTGATTCAAGTCCCTTAATGAAGATGATACGGTAACACCACTTCCAATACTGCTGCTGCTGTTGCTGCCGCCAGTTCCATTGCCTCCTACTGTCACGGTGGACAAATCGTAATCAAGGTTTAAGTTGGATGGAAGGTTGTAGGCTTGAGTTGGATTCCCTGTGGGAATCGGTCCATGATACGCCATGGGTTCAGGGTTCTGCACCGGCACCTACTTATGGGCATCGGTTCATGCTATGTCATGGGTTCAGGGTTCAGCACCGGCTCCTACCTGTGGGTATCGGTTCAAACTGTAATGGGTTCAGGGTTCAGCACCAGCACCGACCTGTGGGTATCGGTTCATAGTGTTGAAGCCCGAGATAGAATTGGAGGCAGGGTAGGCTTGGTACCCCCGGGACACGGGTCCAGGGTACATGTTACGCATCATCGCGCCGTTGCAGGTGGGCAGCACAGAGGGCGTCCCCGCCAGTGCCTTCTGCAGCTGTTTCTCCTGCTTCCTGTACTTCGCTCGTCGGTTTTGAAACCAAACCTGAAAAATTTCCATTGATTTAATTGTGTGGACAAAATAAGAAATGCATGTTATCTGGGTTAAGAACTTAAAAATGAGTCTTTTTCTTTGATACCTCATTGGAAAAAAATAGTTATGTGATTTAAATTTGAATAAATTATTGGAAAACATGAGCATTTTAAATTATGTATATATATATATATATATATATATATATACTTAGCTGCATAGCTTGACCAAAAATAGTGTTATAGGCATATTTGGTTGGGTCAGTTAGGAAGAAGATATTTCTGCAATAAATTAGAATAAGATTTCGGAACCAAAATTGGAAATTACGTCGCATTTGCGCCTTTACCCATTTGGGTGAAGAAACACGCATTTTCCCCAGAAAGGTCAATCAAAATATTGTGCTCGTGAATAGTTAGTCACGACAAACATTGTATAGGGAGCGGCGAAGACCTCCTCAAGCACTCCTCCCCACGCCCATGCTTCTGTTTGATCTCTTTATCGAGTCCCCGAGGGGCTGTGAGGGACCGGGCGACTAATGGCCAACTAATGGAATAGTTCCCCCGCAACCTCCCCGGCTCAACTGCTATCGTATTATTAGCTCACACTAGCATTAACGTACACCATTGCTGACACTAACACAAACGTTATTAAATGCAGTTTAGTATTATTGTTATATTGCCATCATTGCCTCTATGAGTATGCGGCTATAATTATAATTACCTCAATAATTATTATTGCCTCAATAATTATAGAGCAATTATAATAATCCTATTGCCTCCGACTAGGATTAGCCTACGGCAACGCTCACCGTGACACAAACGCTATCCAATGGAGTTTATAAACGTTAAATTATTATTATTGTATTATAATATTACCTCATATTGGCATTATTGCATCACCCTAGTATTTATATACGCACAACAACGCTGACGCAAACGTAAACGCTATTCAATGGATTAACATCTCAATGAAACTGTTGGTTTACATGCAGTACTGCTTGCTACCGAGCCAGCGCTACTAGTGGACTGTAGGAAATGAATGCAAAAGGGACGAACGGATTGGACACAAAATTAAAATTCGATTTCGCAATTGGTATACATAAATATAATTTTAAAGACGCGAAAAATCTGGTTTTGAAATGAGAGTAAAATGGTAGTCCTATCTTGCAGGTCAGATGTGAGTTTGAAGGGTATTTTATTTAATTAGATTATATAATATTACAACACTTCTCTCTAACTTCACTTATTGTTTGTTTGTCTGCTACAAATCTTATAATCAATATTTAACACACTTCTACTTGTCCAATCGATTTGAAATTTTGCACACTTGCGTAAAATTGGAGACAATGCATGAATCAATTGACATAATAAATAATTTTGAAAATTAAAAAAAAAATTATATATGAAATTAAACAAATTGAAAAAAAAAGAATTTGTCTGCAACATACATATTATAATCGATATTACACATTTTTACCTGTCCAACCGATCTGAAATTTTGCACACATTTGAAAGTCATAGACAATGAATGCATGTATCAGTTGACAGAATAAATAATTTTGAAAAATTTAAAAATTTTTAAATTATAAGAATAAAATTTGAAATTAATTTTTTTATTATTTGATAATAAAATTAGAAATTCATTGTGCATGTGTAACATCCGAGGCACTGCATTCTTTAGAAGTGTTGTCTTTAAAAAGAGTTATTTTTACACGCATATTATTTTATCTTAATAATAATATTATCAGTAAGCTGTATTATTAACGGGTTTAGTGATAACTTTATAATGATAGAATTTGAGATAACAAAGATTGCAAAATTGTCGGGACTATCAAACCCGATCAACGCCAGACTAATTTGCTAATACTATACATAATTTGCATTATACCGCACGAATACTAACTGCGCATAAAGTATCCGGGATACGATGTACCACGTATACTTTATTTAATTAAGTATACTTCGCAAGCTTGCGTTAGAATAAAATGTAAGCTAAAGCGCACACTTATTTGTCTTGGTTAAAAAAGTGGAGTTATATAGTTTAATATAAACAAGTAGACTAATATTACAAATACGCACTATTTCAGACATTAGCACTCAAACAATGTGTAATAATTAAAATTGTCAAAATGAACACAGCTGATTATTTACATGAACTTCGGTAGCGCTCAGCAATCAAATAAAAAGCGAATGCAAGCATATGTGTTGCGGGAGATATTATCTCTTACGCTAAGTTATCATATTTCTTGGTATATATAAAATTTCCTGAGAGTCGATTTTAATTTCACCGAAAACTACCGCGATCGAATCATCTTTCGGAGAAGTCCCATGTCAATCGTCAAAAATAGTAAGACCGTTGTAAGACATATTTCTTGAATTACGATGTATGCCAAATATATTCATGCATAATTAAGCCTTAAACAAATAAAGGATCGCTGACACATTTTGTGATTACAATTATTTTGGAAATGGAATGTACACCGTAATAGTTCGTGACGGCTAAGGTCAGGTTTTTCCTAGAGTTAATTTAATTTTGATTGCAATGGTAATCTTCATTATCTGAAAAGATTTGTTGCCAGCAAATTTTCCAGAAGCAGTCTTCCTGCAATCATCAATGTCAAGAGTTTCCCTCCACCGAACTGTCCACCGTTCTGAATTCAATTAGATTATTTCATTTTAAATGCATTCACAGCAATACAGGCGCATGAAAAACTCCACCCGAAAAATATTAGCGCGCTCTAGAGCTGCTTACGAAACTGTCAATGAGGCAGCAAGGCGAGAGGGTTTGTCAGTAGATCTCAGCTCCAGCAAGGCGAAAAATTCCACTGAGTCATATTTGAATAGGCAAGGCATAAAAAATGCTTCGTCTCGAGCGACGAGAAGAAGCGATCTTACTGCCAAAGCCTGCAAGTGCTAAGCTGGTGGAGCCTTAGCCATGCTCTTGCTTCCATCGCTGCGTCCAATGGACCCGAAAATTGCCATGTAATTGTCTATTAAGCTTCCTCCGTAGCGCTCGGTAGGGTTTGATAAGAACGAATATCTCCCTGAGAATAGAAGGCAACGTCATTCATATGAGCCGAGTCGCAGCCGTCGAATTTACCGGATAATAACCTGTTTCCATATACATAGAACACTTGCTGCCCGGCCCAATTCTGGCCTCAGCTCGCCTGGTTTAGCATGCACTGAGCTCACGACAAAATTGATGCAACATCATCATTATCTTTTAGAATATTTGGCTAGAACATGTTACTTATCAATGAATTATTATAATTGTTCTTGCCAAAATAATTCTTTTCGCAATGTTATTTGATAAAAGTGACGATTCACGAAAATATTTACTTATTTCTGACGCCTATTATTTTTCTTTCTGTCTCCATCGACAATAAATTCGGAGAAAAATTGTAATGCTTCCATTAACAAGTGAACGATAGAAATCATGCCCTGTCTTTCCGATATTTCCCTAAAGTTCTCGTCGGTATAGCGACTTCATTCTCCTTTGATGCGAGAGAATATCTACTTGCTGGCAGCTGGACTCTATGGAAACACTTGTATCTAAATTATAGAGTAGTTACAATAGAAATTAGAGAGCGCCTTCTATCGTGCCTGTGAAGGGGCGTGACAACCACCTGTGATGTAGCAGCACGCGTCGCTGATGTACAATAGACCGGCTGTCCCTTCGACACAATCAATAATCGCACAGCTTCCCTTCTTCTATTGATATATTCACGCCGACCAGAGCTCCGCACTACGCCTTTAAATCTTCGGTAGGTGCGACTTGCGGGAAATTTTCAATTGAGCGATAAAATATTGATATTTTCCTAAAAGAAAATTTTTAATTTGTGAAATTGTTTTGACCAACGGGAATAACAGGAAATAATAAAAGAAAATACGTAACATAATTTCTTACATAGGTAAAGTTTTCACGGTGCCTTAGAATACAAGTTCATTTTTGACTGTATGATATCACACAGCAAGACCCTTGAGATAGAACCCATATAATTACGCAGGAACAGATCTCTACTAACAACTAAAACTAGAAACTTAAACTTTCAAGCAGGTGTAAAATATCAGAGTACATGTGAAATTCAGGAGAAGGGAGCTGACATTTCTAATGAGATATCCTTCGGAATGCAAGGTAATAAAATCGTTTTTTTTAATTCAACAGCCTATGCACATCCATCATTGTTTTCAAATTATAAAAATAATAAATTTACTTATACATGTAAAAAATCTATACAAATTTGTTATATTGAAAGCCAATACCGCACACGAGAAAAATTTTTTGAATATGCATTGTATAAAATTGAGGCGATTTAATCTCCAAGCCAAAGCGATCATTAAAAATTAATTTTGATCTGTGAAATCACTTGCTAGTGAACAAACACGCTGTCTAGTCTGCACTAATACTCACATAAATGCAATTAAGCGAAAGATCATGAGCGAGTGCCCGAAGTTAGGCTCGTTCCCTCACGCATTGAAATGCGACGAGCCGCGGACATTCACGAGACTCTCATTCATTCACGAGACTCTCATGAATGATCTCCTGGTGGTGAGACATGATTGGTGCGTCGGTGCTTGTCATTAAACATTCATCGTCTTCCCATTATGAGCAAGTCGTGGGTAACCCATTAAGTGCTACGAGGGTCGCTTAAGTGACGTTCAACAGAGCGATGAGCGCAGTAGTGGACTCAAGTACCCGACAGAGTGAGGGGAGAGATGGGCTTCCTGCTTGGTGAGTGTGACAGGCGGTTTATAGGTGGCCAATCGATGGCCAACTGTCAGACAGCGTTCTGGAGATGTTTTTAGCTAAGGTATCAATTAATTTAATTTTTTTATCAACTGGTAAATAAATATGACGGTTTGCAAGTGAACGGACTACGCCTGTTTAGTAGCAACGAATTTACAATATCATTTATAAAAGTAAATTTAATCGAATTACCAGAAAGAAATTACTTGAATAAGGAGGAAATACAAGCAGCTTTCGTCAAGTCGTTGCCTCATCAAAGCTCAGAA